ATGCCGATGGACTTATGTATATTTGCATTCTTTTTTTTCCCGCGGAAATTAATGCGCGGACTTGACGTATTTCCCTACCAGCAGCTGCACTGGTCAGCCTGACAGTACGCAGCATACCTATCATTGGTAACACTGTATTACAGAGACGGCCGCGGAGATCAAACCTCAAGAATTCTGTAATACGGGAACAGTAGTAATAGGAGTTGTACGGATGGGGCATTACAGGTAGCAGGATAGAAAAGTTAAAATAGATTAAGCAGACAAAACTAGAAAACAGTAGATAAAATTACGGTAAGGAGCTAATACATAGCAACAAATAAGTGCGCGACAATTAAACTATAAATTAGAATTAAAAAGTAAATTATCAAAACAAATGAACAAATAGATTAAATAAATAAAATACCACTACCAACGGTCCCGTATTAAAAAATTCGGGGCCTTTGGTTTCCGCGGTTTAACCTAAAATGGACTAGTTAGGCGAACGAGAGTTCTCGTTTAATTCATCATCAGGCGAAACGGCGACCAGACAACTACAGCATGCATACTTAGGCCACCCACACAGTCATGAGACGATGACACCTTGCGTTCTCAAACCTCCCAACAAAAGGCGATGCAGGGACGACGGAGCGACAAGAACTAATTGTCGGACCCCTTTTCCCCCCTTCTCCTTCTCTGGTCCCTAATTATGACTAGAATCTGACCTCTCTGATCGCTTAACACCTCTCCCTCCGCCCCCTAATTACTACAGATTGATTGCTTAAACTTTTGTTAACTCTGCCCTCCCTTTTATTATTGTATTTGGCTGATTATGAATCAATCTAAAACGTTCTTTCACCTACTTTGACCTCCTGAATGCTTACATGGTTTCCATCGCTGAAGCGTAATACACTGTTACCCCGTAATTTTCCACAACGTTGTTTGCTGGCCCTCCTAAACTAAAGAAACCGCTAGGGCTCAATTTCGAGAACTGGCGCGCCTTGTTTGTCCTCGTGACAACGCCGGGCTATCTGGAAATAGCAAAATCACGCAGTCATTACGCGTCTGCATTTGCTCCATCCCTCTCTGTATTGGCTCACAAAAAAGCAGCAAACGGACTCCCAAAAAATGCGAATCGGCCAATTGGGCAACATTTACCATAACTCCACACATCCGTTTTGTGTGAGTAGAGTCCGTATTGCAGAGTCTCAATTGCCAGCCACCGAATTGGCACTCGGCCGCTGCGTACCACCACGCTGTCCTCGTCCAGGCTGTCGAGCATCTTGGCCAGACCAAAGTCAGTGATTTGGACATGCTCAGGAGACTGAATTAGGACGTTGCGTGCCGCCAGGTCTCTGTAAACGCAGACAGAACATTCGATGTACAATTTATGCTATTACAAGTATTTTGATAGAAAATATTCTTTGGGAAACAGAAACAAACTTTATCGTAAATTTTCGACACTGGCACACCAGGTCGTCTTCGGACGCGAGGAAAATGTGTGAAGAGCATTCCGCATTTTTAAACGTGTCAAAAAATCGATAACGCTGCGTCATCCATGGTCAATAGCATGTTTTGGTGGTCGGCCCTTTTTCCAGGCTTTCTTGTGATTGGTGTACATTGAATCCAACTCAACGTGCCTGTTTATACATGATTCGTCGGAATTAATGGCCTTCAAAAATTCTCGGCTTTTCTTGCATGGTCCGATGCAAACTTGTGCCCACTTTCAAGTGAATGTATGCCGACTTCGGACAACCGGTGGTGCCTATTCACCGCTAATTGATGTTCATGAATGCGCGTAGAGGCGGACCTTCCTGTTTGTCCGCAATAAATTGCATCGCAGTCGCTAAAAGGAATTTTATAAATGACCTCTTTTCTGTTCAAATAGCCAACCCTATCCTTAGGGTGTACAAGCTGATTTCGAAGGGTGGTCGTTGGTTTGTGCGCCACTTGGATCTGGTACTTCCTCTGGTGTCTTTTAACGATTTCAGACACGTTTTTAATATATGGAACGTGAGGGCACCGGGGGGGGGAGGCATAAAAATGCCTTTAGGGGCACACGCAAAACTCTCCCAACTACCGTGTAAGTCAAAAGACAGCAAACACTCTATAAATTGTATGTGTGTGGACGTAGTTTTAAAACGGTGTTGGCTGGCTGACTGCATGGTAATAAGATGGATTCGTCTTTAGCGGCGATAAGCGGAAAGTAGCAAGACGAATAACTCGGAAGAAAACACTGATCCTGGCTAATACTAATGAGAACGTCAATTATTGACCATCTTGAAAGCACAGATCGTTCTTGGAAGCCCCCCGCACACACGTATGTTACACCGATCTCCTGTCGCTGCACGAGGCAACATGCATGCATGGCAAACGTGGATTCTGCCAGAACTGTTGCTGAGACTTTCATTTTGCTGGATTTTAAAGATGATCTCTGGTTGGTTGACGCCCCTGTGGGTATTAACGCTCAAAGGAATGGGCTTTATTCCTCAGCAGGCATGTATATCAGAGGGAAATTTGAAATTGGTTTCGAATTCAAGCTCTTTGCGCTCACGAGGTT